GTCCGCGTCCCCCCGTAAACGAGCTCGATCGATGCCGGTCTCTTCCCCCGACATCCGAAACGCGCACGCGGCAGATAATCCTTTCGGTGCACTCTCCATTTAGTAAAGTTCGTATGGGCGCTACGGGTCGCTTCGATTTTCAGAGCGAGACGAACGGAACGAAAAGAGGGAGAGAGAGGGAGAGAGAGGAAAATGGAGGGAGGAAGGTAGGAGGAGGAAGAGGGAGCCGCGTTTACGAGCGCGGTTCGCATTTTGCGTTATGGCCGAGGAAATCTGCGTCGTGTGTGTACGAGATGCGCGAAAGCGCATGCGGCCGCACCGGCGCATATCCGCATTGTTATGGCTACATTTCCGGTTGTTTGTCGTGCGAGAAGGGACTTGGCAGTTCGCCGTACATACGTAGGCGACCCGTCGTAAGCTCGTGTGTACGACGTACCGTAATGTGCCAGCGCGATATCTCGACTTCCTATCTATTCTTCGCATCGACGAACTTGCGCTACCGCTTACATTTCGACTTTTAAACGTCGAAATTCTTTTTAACAGCGTTTCAGAGAGCGTTTGCCAAATATATATATATATACGCTATATGTCGAAACGGAGACATAAAACTACATCGCGGGGGGGTTATCTTTGACATTCTCGAACGAAATTTGTCCTGTTTGAAATAATTTACGGAAGCTAATTTTCTCTTATTGGAGAAACTTCGATATTTTTCCTGCAAGAATATTTCTCGTGTTTAAAACTGGGAAGCACGGAGTGGAAATAATTGTATATTCGAGGCGTAGTAAATATTTACCTACTACCTTTATTAGAGCTGTTTATTTCGAAAGTTCCGGATCGAAGGATGTTGAATAATGTGCCGAGATCGCGATCGCGCGCTTCGGCATGAAACCGCGGCTTTTCATTCGGTTTTTTTTTCTCTCTCGCAGGTCACACATATATTGGCTTTTTTTTTTATTCGCGAACGGCGCGAAGCAAAATTCAATTTGTCAATTTGCATACGTGCCGGAATAAAAATCTATCAGGCTTCCGAGGTTGTACTTTCCGTTTGTTATTACTTCTCCCGAAAAATCCCGAACGACCGGCTCTTCATTATACTACACGGAAGCGATTCGAAGCGTCGACATATTTCCGTGAAAAATTATATCTGTTAAAATATCAGAAAACGGTAAAATCATGTTTAAGCTGTACGTTAATATTTGCTTTATAATCGGTTGCAGTTTATATTTTTCTTTCTACGTTTCCGCCCGCGTTTTTATCTCGAGGCCAAATTTTACACTCGTCTCGTTAAAGATATTTTACAGAGGAATGAAAGACTACAGTTTTGAAATGCTCTTCCCGCTAACATCAAGTTACGGAATATCAAACTAGGGGAGATTTTTTTATTTTTATTTTTTTTTGAAAAAAGGGAAAGTCGCAATATAAAAGGGGCGCACATAGGACGTACGAGTCAAGGATGAGTGTATAATACGAACGGACATTTTTGAAGTCTCTTTGTAGAATCGTGCGTAAAAGCTAACTCGAAGCCGTCTCGTGTGTTTATCGGATCTTTCTTTATTTTCTCGAAAGTGTCCCGCGAGTAATATGGATATTTTATCCGCCATTACCTCACGAAGACTTTCGTCCTTGACCGAGCGTGTATAACGGCGTGTATCGAGAATAACGTCGATACGGCGTGATATGTGCGCGCGCGTACGTGGTCTTCGCTCGGTTTTCAGAGACCTCCGTATCCATTACCGTAATCTTCCGCCTTGGCGAGCGCAGAACGCGCCGGATTCCTGCTTTGAAACCCGCTTTTGCTGCCACGATGAAAGTCGGATCGAAAAGTCCTTCCCGTCCTTCCGGTGAACTTGAAATCGATTTAAACTTTCCTGACGGTCCTTTTTGATGTTTTTGCGGTAAGAGGATTCGGCAAAGAATATATATTCACTCCTCGGGCGAACGGATCGAAATCGTTTCACCGTGTACGATATTCAATGAACACAAAGGTGATTAATTGTAAGAATAATTATAATTGTAAAGCGCGTTATTTCATCGTAAAAATGTTGGCCGACATAAATCACAAAGCTCGCTCGGGACGAATTCAATTAATTGTCGCTCGATGGAAGTAATCGTCGAGCGTTATAAATACACACAGAAAAATGCATACTGTATCAAGTATATAATAAGTTTATATATCCGCAAATATATTATAAGATTTTCGTATTTAATTTACTCAAAATACAAATTTACTAAGATTTAGAGTGTATTTTGAGTAAATTAAATACTTACAAAGATCTTATAATATATTTGCGGATATATAAACTTATTATATACTTGGATACAATATGTTTTTCTGTGTGTAGGCTGTGGCTTTTGTCGATTGTGTAACGGCTTTCTCGTTACACACTACAATGGCGGGTCGTCATAAAAACGGAACAGGGAGACGGAAGAGTTTTCGCGGTTGCTAAAATGGAAAAGTGTAGAAGCACGTCGGCCGCGACGGGTATTGTTTCCGTTAGCAAGTGCCATTTTCGCGAATGGCACGGTTGCATTCTCTCCGCGGCACGTCAGGCCACGTGGGCAACAAGGGTGAAAAAAGGTGCAGGGTGAGAGCATTATCGTATTAAGCTGTACCTATTGGCCTATTCAGAGATGCTCCTACGCCTTGTTCAAAGACCCATTACGAAAATGACCATTAAAATAAATTGCTCTCATCGCGCGGCGCGCTATAGCAAAGCCGGCGGCTCGCCTCGCTACAGCGCCTCCCCCCTCTCCCCGATAGCCTCGAATTCGTGACGCGGAAATAGTCGGCGGTACGAATCAATTTACGTAAATAATAGAGCGAGAACGCGGCTCGCGCCTCGACCGCTAACAATGGGGAAATTCGCGCCACCGGATACACGGCGCTGACCATTAAATCGGACGCATTAGGGGTGTACGTGCGCACTTGAAATTTTCCGTTTTGACTGTGTTATGCTTCGAAAATATTTTGAGCGGGCGGAATCAAGAAACATCGCATTTGCGGTTTATTAAAATTGTGGGAAACGCAAACACACACACACACACACGCGCGCACGTCGCGCCATCGATCTTTCTTTTTTCCGTAAATTTTGATTAAAATATTCGCGAATTTTGCTCTTCCGCGATATTATTACAAACGTATTTTCTCCCGTCGCTCGAAGAGATTTTTTTTTAATTATTATAGTGCGTAATATTTTAATCGGTAAACACACCGAGCGTTTGCACTGTTTGTACATTTCGCGTGTGTATAGGTTCGCGTCGGAATTAAAACCAGTGTTTGTACTAGAGCGGCGCGTTGCCTTTATATACGGATGGCATTTATACGTGCCCGAGTTGCACAAACATTTCCAGGAAACCTTGTTTCTATCAGTATTATAGTGATATTTTTAATTCTCGCCAGCTTCGTACGGATTGGTCGACTTTCTTGTTTACCGAAGCCAACAACAACATCTGTTATTTCACAAATTTATGTCTGGCAAAAACATATCTGTGTTTAGCTTTGACGTGTTGCATGCGCATATACGAAAAACAATTTTTTGTTTCACTGACGTGCGTATGTGTGTGTGTGTGTGTGAGTATGTGTGTGATACGAATTATTTCTTTGCCAATTTATTTGTGTCATATATCGTAAATAGTTTTTTCTTAGAAAGAGAGAGAGTGAGAATCGGTGAGTGAGCGAGTGAGAGAGTACATGTTTTTTATTTTGTTTCAAAATAAGTTTTTCTTTCTATTTTCGTTTATACGCGAAGTTCTTTTTGGATAATGTATTGTAATAAAGTCTCTGATTCGCTAACTTTTACTCGATAAGCCTTGCCGAAGACGACGAGCGCGGCTTAGGGAATAGCAGAATAATTCATTTACAGCGAACTACATAATCCCATTTTGCTGTGGCGATATTAACTTACCCATCGATCGCGCGATACAAAACACCGGGCGATTTTCACCGTATCTCGAGATGGTATATCGCACTCTTTTCCGACCAATATCGGCTATCATTATTATCACATTTCTTCGATATTTTTTATCACATTCGATAGCGTAGGATATATCAGAAACGGTGCAAGCGCGGAAAAACACGCGCGGCGATATTATTGAATATCTCTCGCTGTTTCATTAAAATAATATCTCAAGCAGAGAGCCGTCGAGTTCTCGCGCTCGTCCGGATCTACGTGCGCGTGTCTGTTTTTCATCGCGAACTCGAGCGAAAGGGAAGATCTGTTTCATTCGTATCAGCCGGAAATATTCCGCGTACGCGCGCGTCTTTGTTCCTCGCCGCGACGTTACTGATGTGTGGTAACTTTTCGCGCGCAAAAGTCAGGCGCGCGCGCGCGTTCTCGATAGCGGATAAAACATCGGTACATCAAAATCCTTTTTCGGCGCGATTCTGCAAATATTGACGCTGGCGAATTGAAATTTGCATCGACAGCGAAATTGGCAAAATATTTCCGCTTCCGTAAAAGAGAATCGGTTCGGTTGCGGCGACGGCACCAGTCGCCGCGTGCGCAGAAGCGAAACAACGGAGAGTCAAAGGGGGTAAACGAAGAGAAAAGGGAACGAAGGTGTTCCCGCGGGATACGTCTGGACGAAGGGAAAACTGTTGCCTTAAATTTAATATGACACGTGCTACGATCAATTCGGACGCGCCTTCCGGCCACTCGTCTCGCCAATTGAATTCCACGGCAAATGTTATGCGGGTCTTTGGCGCTTTTCCCGCAACACGCATACCGACCACACTTTCACGGTGGTTTTATTTGACGAAACAGAATTATCTCTTCTTCTTTTTATTACTTCTCTTTTTATTATCGCACACATTCTGCAAGACCGTATTTTTTGTGGTCCTACAAAATTTATTGGTATAACTTTGCTATTGATTATTTTGAATAAAATAGATACAGATACAACGTGCTAAAATTTGACTCTCGCAAAGATAATTTTTTCGACACGTGTGTAGAATTGAACTTTTCTCTAACGATGTATATAATTTGTTTTGCTTTTAGGGTCCGGTCGGAGAGGTGGGCGGCGTGAGGTTGCCTCTGCAGTCATTACATGGATACGGATCTGTGTTCATGTACTCGGCATCGACGAGTCCCGGGGGTGGAAGTGGCCAGGGTGGCGGAGGCGGAGGTGAGGTCACCCTCCGCCTCCGCGAACCCGAGGATATTCCCGAGGAGGTCCTCGTTCGCCTCGAGGAAACTGCCACCCTCTCCATTTCTCTTCAAAGCGATGCAGTCCTGAGGTTAGGGGCGGCTGGCACAGGTAAGCTTTCTTACTCTCTTCTTCACGTTTGCTTACTGATCAAACATAAAGCGTACGCCTGTTATGATATCGTAAGAAGTGGTTGGACACGAAAGAACTCGAGTGTTGCATAATTCTGAGAAAATAGCAATCTAGTAATTTGCATACTAGAGAGAAATAAATTAATTTATGCTAAAAATTTTGCAAAAATTTACCTAAACCTCATTTTTTGCGTAAAATAATAATAATATCGTTACATTTATCACTGAAATTGATCTTCAAACTTATCCAAGTAAAAGATTAACCAATTTAGATTTTTGCTAATTTATAATTCTTTTTTTTAATCCTATTTTTTAATAAAACTAAAAAGGTTTCTATCTTCGAATCATGTCGACGCTAATAAATAAGTGGCTTATGCGATGTATAAATTTCTACCGATTACTGTGGAATTTATTATAACGAAAGTCGCTTCTCTCGTATTTTTGGGATTGCGTTTAATTCCCGCGTTTTCGAAGAGAACGCTCGGTCTGAGTAGATTAGCCGCAGTACCCGATCCCGTGTGTGCTCTAATGCAGAATTATTTCGTCGGATTAGAGTAATCCTTGCTTTATGCGATCGTGCTCGAGACTCTCCGACAATGCAATTCACTTACGTTCTCGATAACCATTTATGGCGATGAAATCCGAGTTAGTTAACGTAATGTCGACATGTTTGATTATTCATATCTTGTAATTCAGAATTGTATTTTAATACGACTTGTGATTTCTTAACATTCTCCAACAATAAGATGTACGGTGTCATATGTAAAAAAAAACCCCATGTGTTATAAATATTGTGCTTATTTTTTCTCGCTGTGAGAATTGTATCGATTTTTGAACGGGAAATTTAATAATACAAAAGATCCTTCAGAAACGCTGACGATAAAAATCAACGGTTATTGTTTTCTTCTAAAATAGGAAATGACTATTCGGATCTAAATCGTTTCTCCAGTACCAAAAAAGTCCGAAAGCGGTTATATCGACGTTTAAACTTACAATCTTTTCCTATCCAGTTTTCTGAAGCTAGAACTTTTAGACTTTCCTTATAGTTACCATTTTCCATTGAGCTGTAGCACTCATGCTGTCCCTTCTTTCCTTTTCCTTCCCAGAAGTAATTCGACTTCGCCGAGTCTCTTTACGAACGGTCGTTGACATGAAAAAACTTCTTTTCGAAAATTTCGCGAAAAGTGCGCGACTTTTTTTTATACCTGAAGATTGAAAAGAACGCACAATAAGATTTTTTTTAATATTTTGAATCCAAGGACATTTACGCGTTAGACATCTGTTGATAAATCACAGTGAATCAGGATTATTTACATCGTGATATTGTTTTCCAGCGAACGAAGATGGTTTCTAATATTTTCTCCGTCACTTTATTGAAATTTAAAAATGTTCAGTCATTTCAACTCGGAAATTACATGTAAAATGGGCAATTTTCCACACTTATTGGAAGAGAAATTTGTCTTTGCCACATTATCGCGAGAAATATGTGTTACGCGGAGAGAAATTCACGATGAAATTCGATATTGTCGAAGTTCCATGTAGATCATACTTTACCGGGGTTCACTTCGGTAATATTTGGTCGCAAATTTTTATCTGGTCACACTCTTCGATAACTTAAAAAATAATTGCAGCCGTTTATATCACACAAATCTGAAACTAATATTGTGTGTGTAATTTTTTTTATTGATTTCTCGAATTTCGAAGCAGAAACAACTTTAGACTTGTCGAAAGCTTTTACCGTCGAAGTGAAACGTACACAAACTTTTAATACAAAATACGACGGGGGTATAGAAAGTCCTTTTTTCCCCTCGTAGAACGGGGCATCGAGAATAGGATCTGCCATTCGCGAAAAGGCAGGGACGACCGAGAACGTTAACTTCCGGACGATTTGTTAGAACCAAACCACGGCGGCGCGGCCCGGACCGACTCTCGTCCACACGTCGCCATAAATCCCGGATTTTCATAAGTTTTTCCCTTCTCGCGTGTCCCTCGTGCAGGAACCCGCCGCCACCTCCCCGTTCGTATCGCGTCCCTCGAGCGCCTTCGCCAGAATCGATCCGAGATATATCCTTCGTTCGCTTTTCTCCTTTCATTCTTGCTAATGCCGCGGAATCGCGGCTCTCGGGGAAAGAAAGACGGCGCGGAGAGATTTATCGAAGTTGCGGCTTGTTACGGGGGCTTTAGACTTCCGGCGAGAGGAGAAGCAGAAAGAAGAGAGGAGGACGTCCCGCTACGCGGAGCTGCAGAACCGAGGCGGTTCTCTGAGAAGAAGAGAGGTGCTAGCGATTGATTAAGAGGGTCGTTTGTGCCAAGGAAATGCTACTTGAAACGCCGACGCTATCCGAGCCCATTCTCCGACGCGCCCGTTTCGCGTCTTGACTCTCTTCTTCTCGCAGTACCCATCCTTGTCGCGAGACGTTACGGCGAATCACTTCTAGACGATGAGGACAATAGCAGGATTTCGAAGTTGGAGAGGCTTAACACACATTATTTCACGGCATCAGAAAACTTCAGAGATTTCAGCGGGATTAAATACGAAATCTTTTAACTTTCAAGAACTTATTACTACTGTTGTTGCTGTTGTTACTAATCTTTATAATGAAAATCAAACAAAACAACATTTTTCTCTCTTTTTCTTTCTGTGTTTTAATCTTTTCGATCTCATCTTGTGAACTTAAACAGAAGGCCGCACATAATCCATAACAAGATCGGAAGAGTTAACGACAGATCATATTTAAACACGATTGGCTTAATTTAAGCTCTACACGCGCGCACAGAATTGTCTCGTCCCTGAACTGGTATCGAACAGTCGTATCTTGGATTGCGCTAATCATCTTCAGGACGGATTATGTATATCCCGTTCTTGACTATTGAATGACGCAAGATTTGACAAATAGCGACAATATCCTCGTAGGTCAATGCGGGTCAAAGGGCTGAAACCATTCGAACCATTCAGTATTGATTATTGGTCGTCTTAGTCAAAGTACTGCTTGGTACCTACTTAAGCGCGACAGTCTGACAGTGTAATAGGGTTTCCACAGTAGTGCGACAGTATCAATAATCAGGCACGTTGAAATTAATCTGATCCGGTTGCCGGCAAGATAGTAATGCGAAAACAACAAACTATTATTAATTAACTATTACGAGAAACACTAACGGAGATGTATCCGCATGTTGGAGAGTACTAAATGCGCACTAACTTTGTACTAGTTTTCTTCCAATAATTGTTAAAATTAAGAGAGAATTGTTCGGAATACAATTATAACTCACACTCACGTTACTCGCCGAGATGTACGCGCGTAGCGATTGCTAAAACATCATAAAACAATTTGCTTTGAATTGTGTTCGACACACATGCCGCGCCAAATTGAAAATTTCTAGAAAAATACTAGTGTGTTTTCTTTTCCAGCGAAAACAATACCACGAGCCGCTTTATATCGAGCTACCGTAGTCCGTTCATTTGTTCTGCCGCACAAAGATGTGCTGGTGGAAATAAAACGCGAGATCTTATTTCCGAAGAGAATCATCCGAGTTATTGTGTTCTAGTTTCATCTTTTCGCGCATCATTCGAAAATTTGAAACAAAACAGCTCTGACAAATTATTTAATCAATCAAATTTTTTTATTTTAGAAGAGAGATACATGTTTTGAATTGATCAACGCGGAGACGCGGAGAGAATGAAAAATGTGAAACATTCTTTGAAACATCTCTTCCCGAGTTGATTCGTTCGTTCGTGGCATAAAGTTAGAGAAATATCATATTTGACAGACGCAGACATATGTCGAGGACAAAACGCAGCCGAATCGCAGAAGCGAGCGATGTTGCGTGCGAGCGCGAGGAGGATGAGTAGAAGGATAAGAACGTTGAAACGCGTGTAATACCGTAAACCGGGAAAGAATGAAACTAGGCGCAATAAAGGAGCCGGGAATACTCGGTGTGCGCAAGGGGCAATAAGTCTGAAATATGCCAGCGTTTTATTCCCGCCGTACGAATATCCGGCGCGAAGAAAGGCAACGGAGTGGCGGGGACGGAGAGACAGAGGGAAAAACGCGGTTGTGCCGGAAGAGGAAAGCGCACGGAAGAGAAAGAGAGAGAGAGAGAGAGAGAGAGAGAAAGAGACAGTGGCTTTTCGCATTGGGAAAAAATGTCTGCGGTGTACATGGCTTACACGGGGCGAACACGGCGCGGTATGCACGCGAACAATTCTGCGGTAGCGTGCGCCACATAAATAGAGATGAGAGAAAGAGACGGAGGGTGACACGCGGGAAAAAGCGTGAGGATAAGAGAAAGAGAGAACGAGTGAGAAAAATGGAGAAAGGTATGTACGCGCGCGGGAACTTGCTGGCGGAAAACTTTACGAAGAGAGAGAGAAAGAGAGAGAGAAAAAGAAAGAGAGAGAGAGAGAAAGAGAGCAATTCTCGTTATAACTTCGCTGCCCCGCGGAAACTTAAACTGCTGCGAGCCGAACACGCAGAACTTTCGGCCGTTTTCCTACCCGGGACAATCGGTCGTCCGCCCTTTCACCTTTCCTTGCTCTCTCCGGTTGCCCCAGGTACGCGCGCACCTTCGTCGTCGTTCTTCTCTTTTTCCTCATCCTCTTCCTCCTCTTTCACGAGAGACTGCTCCCTTTGATACTGTCGGGGTGAATCATTTCAGGTAAATCTCTCGTTCTTATGTATGTTCTCGTTGCAACTTACGATGTGAAATATAGGTATGTGCACATGGCGCTCTACTCGCGACGTATATAATTTAAACTTTATTTCGTAAAATCCAAAGCACACAGGAACGAACGTTGCGTGAATCGGTAATTGGGCGACCCACAACAAATTGGCGATTTTCGTTTTTCGCAGCGCGAAGGATCTTGTTAAACTTTTTATCTCTATAAAAAAAAAAAAAAAAAAAAAAAAAAAAAAAACAACGCACACACGAGATTGTATTAAAGTTTTTTCACACGATATTCGGAAAAATTATTTGTCAAGA